TAAATAATCTGTAATACAAATGGTAAGAGGACAAACAGGAAAGGTGGGAGAAGGGAAGAGAGGGAAAGGAGATGTTAAGAGAATTGATGTGTCCAATATGAGAACTCCCCAAGGCTGAATTCATTCATGAAGCACATAAACGGACCAAGGAGGTCCAAAGATCAGGTCCTGGCTTCCCAGGGACACCTCCAGCTTTCTGACCCTGGAGTAGTGCTACAGGCTTGAGCTAACCCACTCAACACCCCTCTCCTCTTTCTCACCCCCACCCCACCCAGTTTTGAGTGTGGCACTGGGATTGAACCTATGGCCTTCACACAGCTACCTTTCCAGCCTGTCTTTTTTTGTTGTTGTTGTTGTTGTTCGAACTCAGGACCTTGAGTTTGCCAGGCAGGCACTAATGCCACTGAGCTATCTCCCCAGTCCTGAGAAAGGGTCTTGCTATAATTCAGGCTGGCCTTGGACTCTCTTTGTAGCCCTGGGAGGCCTCAAACTCACAGCAATCCTCCTCCCTCAGCCTCTGAGTGCTAGGACTACATGTGTGTGCTACCATGCCCTGCATCTTTCCTTCTTTTTTCTTTTTTTGAGACAGGGTCTCACTATGTGGTTTAGGCTGGCCTTGAACTCCTGGTACTCCTGCCTTGCCACCAGGTGCTAGGATTCCAGGAGTGCACCACCAAAGCCCAGGTCCCCTCCCTTATTTAAGCATCAGTGTGGGGGAGCAGAGCAGCAGGATCACAAAGGAGGAGGCCTAGCACTAAGCGACATCTTTCCTTCTTTCTTTCGGTGGAACCAGGGATTGAACTCAGGCCCATGCGCTCCACTTACTCCACTGAGTCATCTCCCTGGCCCCTAAGCAACGTCTTTCAAGCTGTTCTGATTCAAGAGGTGAAGCTGATATAGGGGAATGAAACTACCAACCCAAAAGGCACCTGGGATGCATTTGTGTTCTCTAAAACCAAAGAATGAATATTAGGAACAACAGAGGTTAAGAGCAGAATATCTTTATTGGGGGAAAGAAAGCTTCTGTCCAAGAGAGGGATAGAAGGAGGAACCTGAGCACGTTACCCACAACCTGCTGTTTCTAGGGATTTTTACAGAGCAAAACCATGAGGTGAGGTGGGTCTAAGGTAGAAAACAGGGGAACTCGCACATAAGGAGATGGGCGGTCGAGATAGCTCGCACCTGCTTAGGCAAGTTTAGGCAAGCGCTCAGGGAAGGCGGTTCGATCCCCGGCGCCACAGGCTCTGCCAGCCCCGCCCCCAGGGTGGGCTGGGCTACAAAAAAAAAAAACAAAACATGAACATGAGAAGGGACAAAACTATGGTCAACCAATAAGGTTTCAAGCGCAATTGTTCAGGAAAAGATTAAGTCCAGGACTGAATGGGGAAGCAAGTCATGTAGAGCATCAGTAGAGAACAGGAGTTTATCTGGTAGCCAGTAGCAGTTGGAGTGGTCATGTTCCTGGCTTCCTCAAGGTAATGATCAATTCCCAGTGCTTATCTTTAGGAAGCAGGTAAGTATTTGTTTGATCTTTTGGCTTTTAGGTCTGGCCCACAGCGGCAGCATCCGTCTCTCTCACAATTGCAAGGTATCTTTGTCTTCCATGCTGTCTCTGAGGGCCTAGCCCTGTCTGACTGCCTATAATTCTTTTTTTCTTTCCCCCCCCTCCCTATGCCTATAATATTTCTATGTAACTCAACTGCCTGCAACAAAGCTAGCAGAGCAGTTAAAGAGGAAAAAGGGAAGTTGCTCCTGAACCACCTGCAAAGAGGCAAAATGTCCGTGAGACTTGGAGCACGCTGTCTTTGCCCGAGTGCTGCAGCAGCAGCAGCCGCGGCAGGAAGCAGAGAAGAGAACATGTTCCCGAATGGGGAAGCGAGGTATGCCGTCAGGGGTTTCGCAGGGGGAGAGGGTGTTGGCTGGCCCAGAGGGGGACAGAAAAAAAAAAGGTTAAAATCTGTAAACTGGAAGTGTAGGCTGCATGTGGTGATGCATACCTGGAACCCCAACCCTTCCGAGGCTGAGGCAGGAGGATCATCTTGGGCTCCATCTGAGTTCAAGGCCAATGCTGAACTAAATATCGAGACCTTGTCTCAAATCCTAACTCAGGGGCTTGGGGGGATGGCTCAGTAGAATAAGCACTTCCCTGGCAAGTGCAAGGGCCCGAGTTAAATCCCCGGTTCTGCAAAAAAAAAAAAAAAAAAAAAAAATCTTAAAACCAAAGGATGAATTTTAGGAATAAATAGAGGTTAAGAGCAGAATATATTTACTGGGGGAAAGAAAGGTTTTGTTCCACAGAGGGGCAGAAGGGGGACCCGAATGGGTTGTCCCCAGGAAGCTGCCTCTTCCAGGGTCTTTTAGAAGTGGCTGTAAGGTGGAGAACATGGGAACTCTTAGGTGGGTCTGAAGTGGGACAAAACTATGGTCAACCAATGAGATTACAAGCACACTCAGGCAAAAATTGATTAAATCTGGGACCAAATGGGGAAGCAAATCATATAGCAAGTGGACATGAACACAGGACATGGTCTTTTTTTTTTTTTTTTAATGTATTTAGTATAGGGTCTCACTACACAGATTACTGCAGTAATTATAGGCGCGCACCACCATGCCCAGTCTCCAGGGTGTTTTGTTGGGGGTTGGGTTAGTTACTTTTTGGGGCTCTTTCAAGGTGATTGATACCTATTTAGAATATCAATCCCTGATGCTCAGCCTTAGAGAAGTATGCAGCTGCATTTGTTTACTCTTTTGTCCTGAGGTAAGGGGGAGGGGTGGGGAGGGGGTCTGTCTCTTACAAAGATGCAAAGTGACCTTGTGTTCCACATTGTCTTCTTTTTGGTGGAAACGGGGATTGAACTCGGGTCCTTGTGCTTGCCAGGGAAGCACTTATTCCACTGAGCCATCTCCTCGTCCTCTGGCCCTGTCTTAACTGCCTATAATATTTCTATCTAATTTAGCTGCCTACAAGAAAAGAAACTCCAGGGGCCGGGGAAATGGCTCAGTAGAATAAGTGCTTCCCTGGCAAGCACAAGGGATTGAGTTCTATCCCCGGTCCCGGAAAAAAAAAAAGAAAGAAAAGAAACTCCCAACCTGCTAGATGTCCCTTACGAATTTGTGTTCTCTAAAATTGAATGAATTGGGGCCGGGGAGATAGCTCAGTAGAATAAGCGCTTGCCTCGCAAGCACAAGGGCCTGAGTTCAAACCCCAGTTCCACCAAAAAAAAAAAAAAAGAATTTTAGGAACAAGGGAGGTGAAGAGCAGAATAGGAGGCAAAGGCAGGAGGATCTTTGTGAGTTCCAGATCAGTTTGCCCTTATTTTATTAGACAGAAGGCATGTAGCACTACACCTGTTTTTTTATTATTTTTTTCCTAGGGATTTTAATAAATAGCACAAAACCTCAGGTTGAGGCAGGTCCAAAGTGGGGGAAAGTGGGAAATGATGAGGTGGGACAGAACTATGGTCAAACAAGACTGTGAGCGTAAATGCTCGCTTAATATTCATTAGATCAGGATGGAAGGGAAGCAAGTCACCTTGCAAGCAGACATGAATACTGAACTGGGGCTCTTCCTGGCTTCAAGGTGATGGATGCCTATTGAGAATACCAGTCCCTCCTGTTACCCTTGGGGAAGAATGTGGGCTCATTCAGTTCCTCTTTTGTCTTGAGGTCCTGCCCTCTGCAGAGGTTCCAGTTGCAATGTGTCCCCTCTCTGCACTGGCTCCTTCCAGGTCAGCCCTGTGTGAATGCCTAGAATGTTTCTACCTAACTCAGCTGTCCATAACACTTGTAGCAGTTTGACTCATGTTGTACCCACGTTGTGACTTTGCTGTATAATTACCCCCTGACCTTTCCTCTTTTTGTCCTAAACCTTAGCCCCCTTTGTTCTTTGGAATTTATACTTTGATTTCAGGGGACACAAAGTTGGTGTATCTGACATCTTCCAGGTTGGGAGTTATGTCTTCCCCCTTATATATCTCAGTATCAGGCACTAAACAGGTATCACACTTTGTTGGGGTTTTTTTTTGGCAGAACTGGGGATTGAACTCAGGCCCTTGCGCTTGCCAGGTAAGTGCTTATTCTACTGAGCCATCTACCCGGTCCCCACACTTTCATATAATCTATAATCTGAAAACAAGTATTTTCCAAAGATTAATCACTACTTTAGGGGATGGACATTACAGGGGAACTTTCCATCAGCAAATGATGTGTTTTGAAGGCAGATGAGGCAAGGGGATTTTTCAAGGTTAAGAATTACATAAATTGTTTTTAAATATGGATCCTTGGCACAAAGTGTTTTCTGTTGTTTGGTGGTGCAAGGTATCAGGCCAGGGCTTTCTCCTCAGAACGGGTGTTTTGTTTTGAGGCAGGGTTTCACTGAGGTGCAGGGTGGTCTTGAACTCTTTGTCATCTACCTGCCTTACCCTTCTGAAGTCTGGGATTCCTGGCTTGGGCCACCATGCCGGTCCCCCAATTGGTTGCTTGTTTTTTTTGAACCGGGGATTGAACTCGGGCCCTTGCACTTGCCAGGGAAGCGCTTATTCCACTGAGCCACCTCCCGGCCCTTTTTTCTCACTATGCTCGTCAGAGTGGCCCAACTGGTCTCCCAAGATCTTCCTGCCTCAACTTCCCTCAAGTGCTGGGGTTACAAACATGCACCACCACACCCGGCTCTGAGTTTTTGTAGTAAGGTTGCTGTTAACATTTGTGGGTGCTTGACACCTCTATTTTGAGCTTGACAGCTAACTAACCCTATCAGGTAATCAGCACTGGGAACTGCGGGAAAAAAAGGCTAATAGTGAATAGGTGCTTAGTCTATTCTGGTCTTCCTACTTGAGCAAGCAGGGATTCGAACCCCAGTTTTACAAACCTGGGCACGCGAGCCTCGTTGCCATCCCTAGCCCTTAATAGAGGGCGAGGTCGCCAGGACCCGCCCCGCGTAGCCCCGCCCCTCACCGGCGGAGACCAAGGCTCTACCAATCAGCGGCGCCAGGGGGCGGGGCGAGGACGCACGCTGCGGGCCGCCGTTCGAGGGCCCGCAGCGCAGGCGGACGCGACGCGGGGCTGACGCGGAGCGAGCCAGCGCCGCGGTCTCTTTCCCTTCCCTCCCATTCTTCTCCTCCCCTTCCCTCGCAGCGGTCTCCCCGCCGGCGGACCGGAACTATGTGATCCCGGAAGTTCCGGGGCCACTGCTGTGTGGGATAAACAGTAATGGCGGAGGCTGCGGCTCCCGGAACAACAGCCACAACATCAGGAGCGGCAGCGGCCTCCCTCGCCCCTCTCCCCACCGTCGCGGCTCCGTCGCCGGGGGCGGGCGGGGGGGGCGGCGGCAGCGGCGGCGGCTGGACCAAGCAGGTCACCTGCAGGTAGGACGCTGCGCGGCGGGCGAGGGGAGGGGGCGGCGGCCGCGGCACGGACCGCCCGCCCC